ACCTCCCCTAAACTTTTGGAAAAACTCGGAAAAAGCCTCCCTTCCATCACCAACCCAAACGGAAAATGTTGGACTGATGCATTATTTTTTTAAAATACCCATTTTATCCTTTTGCATATAATTTTATATACTAGTAAAATAATTCTAAAAGAAACTTTAATTTGAATAACCTATTTATTGTCTTCTTTCTCTTTCAATCTACCACCACTGAAACTCCCAACAAGAAAAGAGGAACCATTCAACCACCATAGCTGGAAAGCAAATGAAACTTGGACGTTTATTATGGCCTGCAAGGCATTTACACCAACTACTTTTACTATCGTCGAACTCAGAAATGAAACCTGGATAACAAAATGATCTTCTCACAACTGTGTTTATGTTATGCCGTTAATAAGAATCTAACTAAGAAAAAATAGATTGTGCCATAGTACTGAAGATGTTCAACTTTTTCGACCCACAAAGAATTGAAGTCCTGGTCAAATTTAATAACCGATTTATACAAAATTTTTGAAAATTTCATTATCAAAATTTGGAAGTGAAGTGATTAGATTACCCCCACCCCAAGGAAAAAAATGTGAAAAAGAAAAACATACAAAGAGAGAGAATGGAAACTAGTTAAAAGAGTTTGTTCTAAGGAATGCCATATACTGGAAGTAAATAGCAAACACTACATTTCACATTTTCACTGAAAGTCACTTCAAAATGAACCAAAGGAAAAAAAAGGTTACTTCAACTGAAGTCTGGAAGGGAAGAAGACTAACCTGCTACAACAGATCCTCTGTTCAACTCCATTCATGATAACTTTGGTAGTTTTAGTGTGAGCCTCGCAAACTTTGTGCCTCTTGTGGTAGTCCTTTGAGGAACTGAGATCCATTTCACCATGAACTTGGGAAAAGGGAATCTGATAATTCAAATTCGTCATGCGAGATCTTTTTGTATGTATAGGTGACCTAATTTTGCATAGAACTGGATATTCTTTGGAAGATTCACCATTCTGTGTATCTCTATGGTCAGGCGTCTCCTCTTCTCTGAATAATGCTTTCAGAGTAACCACACAAGAAGGAGAAGCCTCTATTTCAGCTTTAGTCGTACTTCTCAAAAAACCCACCAATTTGGTTTGTTAGGAAGTGGCTTCTTGGTGGTTGCAAGGAAACCCAATTCCACTTTTCTACTTCTTGCAAGAGTGTTAAGGTCACTGCAATTTCCCTTATTGTTAATGGCCACACCACTTTACAGTGGCTGAAACTTCCTTTTTTTGATACAATAGAGTTTCTGGGGTAGGAGATGGAAAGACCGAAAGAGGAGAAGAGGAGACAAATGGGTTATTCAAGTTAAATTTTCTTTTTAGTAAAGTTCTATCTGAAATGTGAAATCATATAAAAGGGTAAAACAGATATTTTGAAAAAAAATAACGCATTACTCAAACGTTCTCTGTTTAAGTCACTGATTGGAGGTTTTTGTTGAATTTTCTAAAAGATTAAGGGAGGTTTTTGTTAAAATGAAACTTGAGGGGAGGTTTTTATGATTGTTACAAACCTCAGGGGAGGTTTTTGTATTTTACCCTTAAAACAATTGGTTTACCAAAAATATATGATTGTAAAACTTGGAACTGCACACGTGCAAGCATTGAGAGTAGAGAGGCCTAGGTGTGAGATCTTTGGCCCTCACACATTCCTCTTTATTATATAGATATAGATCCATTGGGTAAATTGCTGAAACCCACTCTGAAGTTTTGGACCGTTGCTAAAACCTCCCATAAAGAAAGAGAATTTAAAGTTGTAGCTTTACCTTTGAGAGGTTGATATGGAGGATAAATTTGAAAAATAAATCAGTTTCAGAAAAGGAATTGGAAAGGTTTGGGGTAGCAATTCATATGTATAGAAATTTGGAAAATAAACATTTTGGTCAAAGTAATTGTATGGGTATTTTGGACATTTTTATGCCTCTTTTTAGATGATTCTAACAAAAAATGCCTACTTGTAACTATATCAAAAAGTTTATGGGAAATGATTGCAATTACCAAACTTGAAAAGTTTCAACAACAACCAGAAATTTCAGGGGAGGTTTTTGCAATTTACCCTTACTTATTTGAAGCCTTCACTACTTCAAATGGAAGAAATGACCAATGAAAGCCAGTGTTATTGCCATGTGCTTATTTAGATGGGAATTAGCAGATCTGGATGCACAAGACATCAGGCACAAGAGTGTTAATGGTAGGCAGTAGGCAGCAGGCGGCAGTCACCGCCAAGTTACTCGTCAATCAGTTAGCCAGGCTTCATCAGTCAGTCACTCTCTCTGTTTCGAGAGAGGCTTCCTCTTGAAGGTTTTTGAGGATTTCGATTCTTAGGCTTCCTCTCTATTTGTTAGGGGTGGTTCCCTTTGGGGAATCCCCCTTTCTCTCTGTTCTTTTATTTTTCTGTTCTCCATTTCTCCCCTCCTCCATGATTTCATTTTTCGTGCTTTCTCCCATCTGTTCTCTTTGTTCTCCTTTTGTCATCTCTGTTCTCCATTTCTCCCCTCCTCCTTGCTTTCATTTCTTCTGTCGCCTTAGAGTTTTTATGCTTTCTTTTCTTATTTGCAAGCATTCTGACATGGGGTTATTTCTCTTTAATCCTTTCTGCGATCACCACCGGTGGAGATTGCTTCACGTATTGTCATCTCTGGCGTTCTAGCTGGCAGTTACAATTCTCTGACGTTCTAGATGGTAGTTACAGTTCTCCGACGTTCCAGATGGAAGTTCGTAGTTCAAGTTCTCCAGTGTTATGGATGGCAATTACAGTTCATGGCCTTGCTGTCTTTTGCGGATTGGATTGGATTGGATTGCTTGGTAGTTACAGTTCATGGCGTTATGGCTTGGTAGTTACAGCTACAATCTCTTTTGGAAACCTCTCCTGTTAGTTTCGCTCACCATTTGTGGTGGATGTGAGACGCGCTTATCTACTTCTGTTGGTAATTTTAATTCACCTTATTTTGATTGTAGAAGTTCTTTTGGTTCTCCTTCATTTATTTCTATATTTTGTTCTTATTGAGAAATTGTATCTGATTTTTTTGATCGACCTTGTTGGCTGTTCTTTGTATCAATTTCTTGAATGAATGAAATATGCTTTAAGACTTCAAAAAAAAATGGTAACATTTTTGCTTAAAAATAAAAAAGTCATACGTCAAAACATCAATTCCAGCAGGAAAAAATGTCAAACCTCACACTAAGGTGTGTATGAACGCTACAGTAAATTTAGGTAGTTTCTGTTAATTCTTTTTGTATTCTTTGGGGGTTTGGTAAGCTTGGAAGACTGAAAATTGATCTTTTTTCCTTTAGTTACTAAAGGCTGTAAGACCAAAAGATGTGGGCACAGAAAGATTTCAAAGGATCCAAAATGTTAAATTTTGAGAAACTTCAAATAAAATTTTCTAGTCTTTCCACATGATAAATAATCCTTATATGCATTTTTAAAAGCCCAGTAGATTTCACTTCAGCATTATCAAACAACCCCTTAAGTGGGTGGCTCATGTTGACCAAAATTCAGTCAAACTAATTCAAGTTATCTCTAAACTTGAAATTATCCATTTTAACTTCCAACACAAGTTGAGGTAAGAATTTCAGGTGTAGACCAGGTAGTTTTATTATAATAGAGTTTATCAATAGCTTTATGTGGTTTGAAATGGGTTGGGAGTGACACTTGAATAAAAGAAAAAAACAATTTGGTTTTGTATAAAAAAACAATACATGTTTTTGAAACCAACAAAATATTGAATTTAAAAAATCATATAATTTATGGAGCACGATGTTAAATGATCAGATGAAAACGTATTTTTGAAACTAGATTCAAGAACATGTTTTTTGTTTCAGTTTTGAAAACAAAAAATACAACCAAAAATATGTTTTGTGTGTTTTTGCTTTAAAAAAAACCTTAAAATCAATACATCTTGTGGTCTTTTGGGCTGTTAAAAGATCTTTTTAAAACAACTTGTCAAACAATGTTTTGAGTTGGATAAAATTGCTAGAACACCTAGAAAATACAAAATTTTGCACTTTACATATTTGCATTTATAATCCATCCAAACTGAGCCTTAATTACAAACAAATTAATCCATTTTTGGTTCCATATGGCGCAAGTATAGCTCTAAGACGAAACAAATTGGAAGGTATAGACTATAGAGGCATGATTTTTTTTATCTTACACGGTCAAGACTCAAGAGAAAAAGGCCCTGACTTCAATGGAGATTTTGGAAGGCTCAAAGTGGTGATCAAAATAAACTCCGACACAGCTGTTAAGAGAACCAAGGAGGCAGAGATTGGTGGCATGGCAAGAGAAGCAGATAATTAAGCTCATGGTTTTACAAACCGACCTGAAAATGGAACCGCTTTCACCATCGATTTTTCGGTCAAACAGTCCGACCATCTGATTTTAACCCCGGCCAAACAGTTTTTAAGGACCAAAACTAGATGTTAAGCCATGGCCAATTCCTGGCTCAAATGGTCCATCTGTCTGATGGGGTCCGGTTTTCAAAATTTATGATTAAGCCACCAATCTATGAGAAATCAAAGCTTCTTGACAGATCAGTAACTAGTAGGTTGTAGCAGAAGAAAGTTTTAGCGGAGGAAAGCACATCTTCATCGCCAAGGAGACTGGTGTAAAGAAGATTCAAGTAAAAGACTCAAAATTCAGATAATCCCCCTTACTCTCTACACACAAAACGAGTAGTGAAAACGTTTTTTGATGTCTGTCTGCAGACTCTGCACCAGTGAAAACGTTTTTTGATGTCTTTCTACACAAAAAACGAGTAGAGGATTGGATCGCTAATGAGGGGATTAGATCCCGAGCTCGTCTGTTTGGACTCACGTATCCTCAGTTCTCCTCCACCTCCGTTGAGTTCTTTGTCTACTGAAGCCATTGTTAGTTTTGCCACGTGTCTTAGTTTTTGATGAACATCCCACCTCGTTTAGGTATGAAATACAGAGGCCCTTAATATAATAACATCCCTCTCTTATGAGCGTCTCTTCGGAGACATCTGAAAAAATTGGAACGATACAGAGAAGATTAGCATGGCCCCTGCGCAAGGATGACACGCACAAATCGAGAAATGGTCCAAATTTTTTTTGACTTTTTTTCCTGGCAAATGCGAACCAGTGTTTGGACTTCTACCCCTAATCGACCAAGTGAGACAATTGCCGTCGAGTAACATTTTTCTTCAGGTAATCTAATGATAGACATTATAACAACTCGTTGCAGATCCTATTGATTCTTGTTGAGCGAATTGTTCTGCTATTTCATTTGATTTCAATGTGTTTGGATTCAATTTGACTGATGAGAAGAGAAGCTTCCCGTCGAATTACATTCAATGTCTGTTAGTGCATCCATACACACACAGCTCTAATTTTGAAACTTCCTCTCACCAGATCTTAGAGGCTTGATTCACTCTATTTAGGATAATTGCTTCTCTGTCTGCTGAGGCTTTTGTTATGTCAATCGTAATTCTCCCTCTGCTCGTGCGGCAGTCTTTTATTATCATTCTGATGATGTCCGTAAGACCGTAATTACTCGAGGGCTTCCAAGTAAAACTAGAAAAGAAACGTCTAAAAATCTGTGTTGAAATCTGTAGAAAACAATGGATCTGTATATCATGCCTCAACTAAAAAATTAGAGTCGGAATAACCTAATAATTTTAGTTCCTTAAAGAGGAGAAATAGCTACTTTACCCTCGCAACCAAAAAATTGACTGTGTTGTTTACCATTTTGTGATTCTGTATCTTTGTTAAATTCTTCAATGGAAAGAGAAATGGCTCATTGAGGAACTAACTTCATGGAACTAGAAGCCTGTAATTGATTAATGATAGAATGACCCATTGGAATGTTAAAAATTTATCTTTGCATTTAGGTGGGGGAAGGGCCTTTGGGCTTGTTGCTAAAAGTTTTTTTTTTTTTTTTGTCGGCAAACAAAGCAAAGAAAAACTTCATTGAAGGATATTTCTGAACATATTTACATCCAAGCCTTGAGGCGGTAATTGATATTGCAGATTGATTCCCTCCTTGCAGACTTTATAAGCTAGTCTGTGAGCTAGATCATTCTAATTTCTGTTTACATGTATGATATAGCATATCTCGAAGTATTTAATCAAGTCCAGAAATCCATCCCTGTATAGCTTATCTCTCCAAGAGCAATGCTTAGAGGGATGATTTAAAAGATGAACTATATACATAGCATCACATCGAATTTGGAGGCACTTGATATGCATTTCTTTTGCTGCTTTTATTCCCCAGATTAAAGCCAGCCATTCTGCTTCAGTAGGAGTTTGGGCTGAGGTTCTTGAGCTCTGTGCTGCTATTACTTTGCATGACTGTTTGATTAAGACACAACTAACAGATGATCTATGTGTACTAGGCATATACAATCCATCAATATATAGAATGGTCTCTTCTGATTTTTGTTGTGTATGCCTTTGTAATTCTTTGTGCTGTTCTCTATGATCATCTTCCAGCATAATTAGGTTGTTGAATGCCTTGAGAATGAAATGAGAATCTGGAATGACATTTTCATGTAGCTTCCTGTTACGAGCTTCCCATATCAGCCTCAAAACAATAGCAGCTTTTTCCGTATTTCCCTTAATCTCTGATTTTGATAAGATATGTGAGCTTTTTTGCTGCCATTGATTTAGAATTTCATGAAGCATCTTTGGTTCTTCAACCCAATAATGTAGGCCCACCTGAAGTCCGAACCATACTGCCTGTGCAAAAGAACACCTAAAGACAAGATGATGTATTGATTCATTTTCTTCCCCACAAAAAACACACAATCTATCTTCTAGGCTTAAGAAGGATAATTTGTCCTTGGTAGGAGTTGCATCCCAAAAAGCTGTTGCTAAAAGGTTTAGTACTTACAACTTCATAATTGGTTTCTTTTTCTTTTATTTTTCCCCTTCACTAGGTCAGATTGGGGGGAGTGGCATCCGTATCCAGTCAGTTGCAGCTGTGTTGCACCCAACCACCTTCCAACATACTTCATTTGAGAATTTGCATTGAACTTGGATCACAAAATAGTCAACACAAAGTGTAATGTTAGAGCAAATCCAAATCAGCTTTTCGTTGAGTTCATAAATGAAAATCTCTGTTCATTAGTTCTGCCTCATCAATATTCACCCATTTACTGTTGATTTCAACAGGTGAACCTAAATCAAACCATCATGGCATCACAATGATCTCATACTGTTGGTTCCCAGCAATGTGCTGTTGGTAACAATCAGGGGTGTCTAAGGTTTGTGATGCCAGTGTTGATGTCTTACACTCCGTGTGTAAATTACTGATTTTTCTATTTATGGATAGGGAAGATATACATGTCGCAAATAACAGTCTTCTTCATCAGGTTGTATGGATTTTATGGGATTAACTTGTGCTTTATTGTGTTCCATGATATTTTGTTGAACATGAATCTAAATGGATCAATAGGTCCAAATAATGGAAGCATCTTCAACGGCAGCCTACCACATTGTGTGTGCCTGCAGCCAAATTATCTGCACTCTGCAGTGACATTATATTTCTGAGGATCCACCAATTTTTGAGGATCCAAGTGAGAAAGAGGATAATGATGATCTAGTTTGTTGGGTGCTGAAAAGTAATTTGTATACTGATTTCTCTTATCAATATCTGTACCCATAACTAGGAATGTTAGGTCGCTATAGCCATGAAAGCTATTAGAATACATAAGTTACAAAACCAACTAACCAAGCACGTTTAGGTTTTATTCTTTCCCTTTGGCTAGTAGGATGCACCAATTGTTTGATAATTTCATTAACAAAACATGGCTACGGCAAATCCACGGATACCTATGGTGCTGCAGTAGTTGTTCCAACTTTAATGTATAGATATTTTTCTTTCCTGACTATACTTTATTTCCATATTGTAGAATTAATATATGAAATTTATGGATGGCATCCTTTGGTGAAAGTATTACTGTAATTTTCAAATGATGAAACTTGTTGTGTAAAAATTGCATCAGAGAAAGGGACCCTAGTTTTCAAAAGATGAAAGGGGCCCTAGCTCTATGTGATTTAACTACTACCACCCTAAAGTAGTTCAAATACACTCTGGGATGGGGGGGGGATGCACAAATGGTTGACATACTGCCTTGCAACTAAGAGGTCGAGATTACCTTCCAAACTGGAGAACTTAATCTAGTCAGTGGGTTAGGTTTACTTGATAGAACTGAACCGATTATACCAGTTCTGACTTTGAGTTTTGTGTTCTCATTATAATTGGGTGAGGGACTGGTTTTTGCTTTTCCAAACTAATTAAGGCCTGAACTGATTATGTAATTAATAATAAATAAGACCATGGTTTTCTTGTAATTTTTGCTACATTTTATGTTTAGAAAACAAGTGGTTTTTGGAAAAGTCTACCACAAGCTTAGTTTGTATGTGCTGTTCATTGTCAAGGCTCTCACTTCATGACAAGTTGATCTATATGTGCTGTTCGTTGTTAGAGGCATGACTGAGACTGATGTGGAATAAGTGGCTGAGGTTTTTGGAGACCCCTGATCTCAAAGAAAAGAAGAAAAGAAGCCCAAAATTACAGTGGAATAAGTGGCGAAGTTCTGATTATGTTTAGAAAAGTTTTTTTTTTTTTTAAAAAGTGGCCTATATAATTGGAAAATTCCAATTGAATCCACAAACAGTTCAACCATTTAGGAGACTCCATGGACGACTGTTTGGACATTCTGGAGTCTGGGGCTTCACCTGCATGTTTAGGGGAGAGCTGTCCATGCTAATAGGGCAACATGGCATTAGTTTATTCACCCTCTTCCTATCAGCTCTGAAGAATAAGCTGAAAAAGATATATATACAGAGAACACGAAAGAAGAGCTAGAGGAAAAAAAGATTAGAAGCAATTGTTTTATCAACATATAGACAGTTTACTATTTACTGTCATTTTTATTAAGGTTATATTATCAAAAAAATTCCAAGTTTTCATATTATAGTAATTATAAGTGTCAAGTCATGTCAGAACACCCCCCCTCCCGGTCCAATCTAGAATTTATTCAGTTCTGGTTCTGAGTTTTGTGTCCCACTTCTAATTGGATTGCGACCAGTTCCTCCCCGTCTGAACCAGATCCAACCCATTGGCATCCTCTGATGTTGCAAGTCAAATTCTTTGTATCATAAATACTGTAACACATTACATGGGTGGATAGCCTCGGCTAGCCACCATCTCAAAGCACATCAAAGAAACCCATTACAATAACACGCCTCAGAACAAATTTTCTCTTGTAGCCTCCTGTTTTGCCAACCATGTAATGCTGGGTTGTTAGCCTCCCTATGAACCCAAATAATGCTGGTGTCCAGTTGCCTCAAAATGCTTCTTATTTCCCGCACAATCCTCAGTGTATTGGACTTCCAGCCATTGTACATCTCAAGGAACACACCCTATCTTTGTTTACATATTTTGAAAACATTACTATTAAGCATATATAAGTGGGGAACTAAACACCACCTCTGATGAACTAATCTATAAGTCTTGCATATATAATATTATAGAAGATGAAAACTGTGATGTCCAGGATGCAAGTCAATTCCACATGAATGAATGCTAGCCTGATTTTTTTTTATTTTTTTGGCAATAAAAAGCAAGTGTTGTGCAGCTTTTAGCATTGTATGTAGCATGTGTTCTATAATTGTATCAACAATTTAACAACTCAAGTTGGTATTAAATTTATAAAAATGAGATAGCTAAGGCAAAGGATTTATATTTACAGTAAGGTTTTTAAAACCGATCCGGAAAACGAAGTGGTCAGGGGTCCAGTTCTCGGGTCGAACGGTCCAACTATTCGAACCGAATGGTCGGCCCGTTTTTACAAAAATAAAAAATGGTCAAAACCGTTGAATGGTTAACCGTTCGGGTCAGTGGTTTGTTGACCAAAATTCAGTTTTCTAGAAAAATGGAACCAGTCACCTCACTAGTTCCCAGTTTTTTCGATCCGACCATCCGGTTTTGAAAACCATGATTTACAGATACAATTTCACTCAAGAATTTGCTGATCAACATGAAAGGAAGATAATAGCATGAACAATTATATTTATTCCCCTCCCCACTCCGCACTTCTCAGTGCAAAGTATGAGCCCCATCATTAAATGCTCCCTTTACCAATGCTCCAATGCCTAAACTTTTGGTCAAACACGCCAATTATCATAAGAGCACAAATCTGTATCCAAAAAATTGGTACAACAACGCTCTCTCATAAGGATACAAAAATGTTAGAAAATATATTTTTGACCTCTTAATCATTGCATTTTTGTATGTCAAACAAACACTTATAAATCCAACTCAGGGTACATAAATACCTCGGTTCAACATTTGTATTGCAAACAAATGTAGTCTAAAGAATAAATACTTAAAAAAAACGAAAATAAAATTTCAGTAGAAGATATCATTGATTGTTGTCATTGTTTCAGGATTCACATTGAAAAGCTACAATAGAAACCATAAGTTACCGGTTAAGTGCACTTACCCAAGTAAATGTTTCATGTGCAACATTTACATGGGCAAATTCATTTACCCATGTTCTTTTGATTCCTAGATAAGTAATATAATGACATTTTTATCCATAAAAAGATGGTATTAAAATAGACAAAGTTATCCCATTATGTATCATAAAAATTCCCCCCAAGTGGGAAAACTACTTACCCACTTGTGAGATGGGTAAGTTTTACCCAAGTAAAGATGATTTTACTATAGAGCCCACTACTTAATGCAAAAAGAACATTCTAAAGTTGGTCAATGGGAAAAAGATACCCATTGACCAACTTTCCCAGGCTTATTTACTAGTAAATGAACGAAGCTTGAGACTAAGCGAGTTCAAAGATGTGTGGAGGCATGATTTTTCTGATTTTTCTGCACTTTACTTGGACAATAGAAAAGGCCATGACTTCAATGGAGATTTTGGAAGGCTCATATTAGTGATCAAAATAAACTTCGGCACAACTGTTAAGAGAACCAAGGAGGTAGAGATTGGTATAGCAAGAGAAGCAGATAATTAAGCCCATGGTTTTACAAACGGACCTGAAAGAGGAACCACTTCGACCACTGGTTCTTGGGTCAAACGGTCCGACCATCTTATTTAAACCTTGGCCAAACATTTTTTAGCAGTGTTTTCAACCCACCATTGACTCGGTTGATTGAACCATTTGAATGGTCGCCCGAATAGGATTTCGGGTCTAATTCTGTTAAAACCTGTCAAGCAGTCAAAATTGTTGACTTGGTCAAGAACTATCCAATTGGGCCGATTCAATTGTCAACGGGTTATGGGTTACACAATAAATGCATACAAATTTTCAAAAACCATAACTTTATACTCCGATGTTTGATTAGGGTGATCTTTTTTTATTTTGGGTAACATTTCAAGATCTATATGTTTCAAGGGGTCGTTGGTGCCTTGCTATACTCTCTATAAAAGTAGGAATATTTTGGGTAACTTTTTATGTCTGTCTGCACTCACACTCTTAAGAGAAAGAAACGCTCCAACAGTCCAGCGGATTGGATCGCTAATGAGGGGATTAGATCCCGAGCTCGTCTGTTTGGATTCATGTATCATCAGTTCTCCACCTCCCCGTTGAGTTCCGTCTACTGAAGCCATTGTTAGATTTGCCACGTGGTCTTCGTTTTTTATGAAAGTCCCACATCGTTTAGGTACAAAAGGAAGAGGCCGTTAATGTTATAGTACCGCTAATGTATTAGTGTCTCTTCGGAGACATCCGATAAAATTGGAACGATACAGAGAAGATTAGCATGGCCCCTGCGCAAGGATGACACGCACAAATCGAGAAATGGTCCAAATTTTTTTTGACCTTTTTTTCCTGGCTTTTGCTAAAAGCCCAACAAACCCAGGGATCTTCCTGCGGTGAACTAGTGTTCGGACTTCTAGCCCTTAATCGACCAAGTGAGACAATTGCCGTCAAGGAACATTTTTCTTCAGGTAATCTAATGATCGACATTATATCAACTCGTTGCAGCTCCTGATGATTCTTGTTGAGCGAATTGGTCTCCTATTTCATTTGATTTCAAATTGTGTTTGGATTCAATTTTGACTGATGAGAAGAGAAGCTTCCCGTTTAATTATATTCAATGTCTGTTAGAGCATCATGCACACACATCTCTAATTTTGAATCTTCCTCTCACAAGATCTTGCTTCTTCTCTGTCTGTCTGCTGAGGCTTTTGTTATGTCAATTGTAGTTCTCCCTCTAGCTCTTGCGGCAGTCTTTTATTATCGTTCTGGTGATATGTCCGTAATTACTGGAGGGTTTCAAGTAAAACTAAAAAAGAAAAATCTAAAAATCGGTGTTAAAATATTTAGAAAACAATAAATTCTGTATATCATACCTCAACAAAAGAAAAAAAAAATAATCGGAATAACTTGATAATTTTAGTTCCGTAAAGAGCAGAAATAGCTACTTTACCCTCTTAACCAAAAAATTGACTGTGTTGTTTA